CACAAAATCCCAGTTGAGCCGCTGTCCTCCAATACACAAACACATAGGCCTCACGCCGTACGTGCGAATGGGGCCGCCATTAGCCGTCGTCAACTGCGGTCCATGTCCCCCACGAGCGACGTCATCTCTCGACGCAGGAACAACACTCCGTTGAGCTCCTGTGTCACACAAAAACAAGCTTCCTGAGACTCTGTCGCTGACGAAGAGAAACCTGCTCGTGCCACGCCGCTCAGGGCCACTACTGAGTGCCGGCTCCTCTGTTTCCCGGAGGCTTGTAACTGCAGGAAGCGACACACTTCTTCGCCCTGGCCCCGAACCGCGCGTGGTAAAGACACTCTCCTGTGTCCCCTCGTCGGCTTGGTACCGTCACGTCCAGCCTCCCCCAAGCCTTCTTAAATGTAGAGGGGGCGCCGAGCGTCACAGCTAGCGCCTCTGCACCGGACTGCTGGGTAGCCAGGAAAAAAGGTCGGCCTCTTCAGCCAAGGCACAGGCTCCGTAATGGACATGTTGGCTAGCGCCGTCTGAACCCGGGAAGGCAAGTTGCGCAGGAGCGTCTCCATGAACAAAATCCGGGGATCTTCCCCCCTTGGAAGATTTAGCATTTTCTCCATTAGATGAGATGGCTTGCTGTCTCCTAGGCCTTGAATGTCAAGTATCTGGCGGGCCCTCTCCTTAGCAGATAAGCTAAATGTCTTAAGGAGAAGGGCCTTAATCGCCCATATTTGCCATGGTGCGGGGGTCTGCGATAAATCCCACCAACCTGGATGACGTGGAGCTTCCCATCGCTACTACCACGTGGAAATATTTCAAATCCCCATCACGGGATCACGAGTGTGCCTCCACGTGTGCCAACCATGCCGCAGCGGCATGCTCCCAAAACTCCGGCAGCTTTACAAAACATCACGATCAGCCATGTTCATTGAGTCTTCGGAAACTTTCTCGAAAACGTCAGGGTCACCAGTGTAGAGCCGATGAACGGGAGTCAGAGGCGGTGTATTCAGAATGGACTTCCACACTTTATTATCTATTCATCTACAAGAGGTAAGTACATGTGCTGCTCTCTATGATAAACTAGCATGAATGACAACAAACCCTGGTACCCTCACTAACGGGTCCGGGTTGCAACACACACTAATCACACAGTGAATTATGTACTAATAATGTGTCACCACAGTGTCCATGTTTCCATCACAGCCAATAAATACGTGTGAGATTACTGCAGACTAATTTCTTGTTCAAATGAATCCTGACCGTAACCATTCTCAGAAAAGACAAAATAGAGATATTAATGCTTTGGGTAGGTAATAGGCATGATAGGAGCTCAACCTTTAGCTCTGTTTGAGCACCTCTATTCACAGTCATTTAATACATTGTTATTATAAAAGTATTTAGTGCAGTTTCCATTCAGATAGTGTATAGGGTGATGCGGTGATGATGTATTTTTGAAGGCCGACACAGAAGTTAGCTCGCAAGGGCTCCCTCTGCAAAAAAGCAATGGGATTTCCTCATTGGATTTCGGTATATATTCTACTCTGTGGCAAACACATGTTAATTATACTTACACGTTCTCTTCAGCATAATAAACTCCAGATATTAACGCCACTTTTGAAGCGTAAATGCATTTGCCAGAAGTAAAATGCTTAAAGCGAACCAAACCCTGGTGTTATGACGTTTTGTTGTCTCTTAGTCACTTGTTAGCAACTGACGTTTTTATAACACATAAAAGTTTTGAACATTCACGCTGTGGCGTTTTTACATGTACAAAAGTGGTGGGGCTCGAACAACTTAGATGTGTAAAGAGTGGCGAAGTCCCTCCCCTTCCGGGGGACCTCCATGGGACCTTATTTCGGAAAAATCATTTATTGAAGTCGCTCAATGAACTACAACTCTGGTCTTGCATACGTCACCAACACCAAGATGGCCGTCACGTTAGCACATTTCACCTCTTTCTTTCAGAATGAAGTGAAAAGTATTAAAAGAGGTGAAAATCACTACAAGTCTGGGCATGTTGAGAACTGTACATACACAAAAGGGGAGTTAGTCGGTTTCGTAAGAGCCATCATGCGGGATCGGCTTTACCAGGTTTCGGTGAGTAACACGAGTGTAATGTGTAACGTTAATGCACACAACTCTGGGATTTGTAGTCTTTCTAGTTGCGTATTTTTCGTAGTCTTATATTTCAACAGTTTTAAGACAAACTGTGACTTTTTTGACACGGAAATTATTTTTTAAGATTGACAAACATCATATGTGTCATAATTCATGGCACAATTCAAACGGGATCGAAAGATACGTTTTCTCTCTCCATTGACTTCAATACATAATTTTGATGGGCGGAAGTAGATGGGCGTGACTTCGAAGTCCCTCCCCTTCCGGTGGACCTCCATTGGACCTTATTTCGGAAAGATTATGTATTGAAGTCAATGGAAAGAGAAAGATTATCTTTCGATCCAGTTTGAATTGTGCCACGAATTACACATATGATGTTTGTCAATTTAAAAGATAATTTTGCCAGTAAAAAAAAAAAGATGTGTCGTAAAACTGTGAAGTAACACATTTTTTTGTGTGAAATGCTGAATGAACTACAACTCTGGTCTCCCACAACAACACACCTCACCAACATGGCCGTCACTACTGTCTTGCTAAACAAGGGATTGACTACCCTCACTCATACTTGCCAACCCTCCCGATTTTCGTGGGAGACTCCCGATTTCATAGCCCTCTCCCGGTTTCCTCCCGGGGTCATATTTCTCATGATTTCTGACAAAATCAGATTTACTCAGGACTGTTTCCACTCTGACTTTAATACAGCTACACCATTGTTTGGTTTCCATGGTAGCGCGTCTCTTTAGTCACAGAAAACAGAACAAGAATCGACAACTCTACCCTCTGCTCACTCCTTTCCTGTAAAATACAGGTCCAGCCCACACATATGCTCCATCAAGGATGGTGCTACAGGCCGCAAGGCATTGCACCTAGAACTACAATAAGCATGTTAATGTTAATCTAACAGCTCTGGCGATCCACTATTTTTTTGCCGCACACATTGAATAGAAAAATACTCTGAGTTTTTACAGCACCCAGTCACTTTGACAGTGAGAGAGAGGGGCTAGATCGGGGCTTGACCCACGTCGCTCAAAACGGCTCAATATGGCACACTGTAGACACTAATTAGAAGAACACAGACTAAAACAGCAATGTACAGATGAATCAGATGATTACACTTGATCTTAAAATATATTTTAGGATGTATTGTTTTTGCATTTATTTGCATTTTTGGAATTATTATTTGAATTACTTTCTGCTGACACTAGGTGGGGCTGTGCCCAACCAGGTTATCGCGACCGACAACCAATCACATGAATCTCCCTTCCCGGACACACAAAGTAAAAAAGCCCGCTTTCCGGTTTGTATCCCGGTATGTGTAGAGGGACTGGTCGTATAAGACCGGGTGATTGCCTATACTGCAATTATAACGTTCTCCTCCATTTTTTGGAAAATGACGAAATTACCCATGCTTTGGCTCTCCCAGAATATTTAAATAGACGTGGTTTGATTGGCTAGCGCTTACTGGCATATTTGCATAAACGGGATTTGATTGGCTGGCGCTTCCGTCGACGCTTGAAAAGTTTTTCTCAACTTTCACTGCGAGCAACGCAGGCAAAACGAAGCAACGGAACCACTATTCAGTTCGGCAAAGCGTGACGTCACCCCATTCAAAGTGAATGGGAAGCGTCTCCGTTGAAGCTTCCAGCGGAACCGTGTGTACGGGGCTTAACCCTTCTGGAAAACTGGACCAAGCTGCAGGACCTGAGCCGGTCCCTGGACCTTACTTTCATACCTAATACCTTCATTTCATAAACAGGTCTTATTTGTTGCCAAATTCATTTACTATTATTGTAGAACTACAATATAAAATAAGTTATTTAAAATATCAACACATACATTTAATTTCTGGAATCACTATGACAACACACTTTGTAATCATAGAATAGGCCTACACAACACGTTACCTAACATTCATTTCTATTTTCATATAAGCGTAGTATACCTTTACCTTTTGTTTAATATAAATAAAGGCTAGTTTTTCTATTTGCCTATCTCTTCTTGAGTCAACGATTTACTATATTAATTCTATAAAGGATATAACATATTTAATATGACCATTATAACATTGGCAATATTTCGTAAATGTAACTTGTTTTACATGGGGATCGTTAGCTACATAATACTCTGTACAGATGCTGCATGCTATGCAGAGCTGGGAGAAGTACTCAGATTATTTACTTAAATTAAAGTAGCCTATCTATACTACTGTGTAATAATAGTACTCTGTAAAAAGTAAAAGTACTGCATTCAAATGTGTAGTTAAGTAAAAAGTATAAGCATCATAATAAGATAACATGTACTTTATTGATACCAAAGTAGTCATTATGCACAAAGACACATTTAAACGCCAGTTTTTTAATGATTGTATTAAAATGATTAGTGCATCAATCGGATCATCACTTGAACGTTTATTTGAATGACTTTATACACTGCTAGGTAGCTTAGCCTATAATAATGCATGATAATGTGTGCTGATTTATATTTCGTATTAACCTACACCTGCAAAATAACTAGTACAATATGTAAAATAAATGTAGTTGCGTAAAAAGAATGATTTAGGTCAGGATAATTTGAAAATCTCAAGTAAAGTACAAGTACCTACATTTTGACTTAAGTACAGTTCTTGAAATGTAGGCCTTTTGTATTACACCACTGATGCTACAGTATGTGATTAAAGCATGGCGGGTTAGCCTGTGTGTAACCGCATTTAAAATAAATAGAATAGAAAAGAAGTGTCTCTCTTGCGTGTGTTTGTGTGTGAGTGTGGGTGTGTGTGTGCGCGTGTGTGTGAGTGAGTGCACGCAACTGCGACCTGCCTCGATTTCCTGCTTCGGGTTTCCCTTTAAATGGGGGCAAGGCTCTATGCTGGGAATTCACGTCATTTCGCCGTTTTACACACATCCAGATCAATGAGAGAGAGAGAGCGCGCGAGGGGGGGAGAGAGACGTGCTCTTCCAGGAAGGGATTATTAACCAGCACGCTGCCGACCCATGAAGGGAAAACACACGCAGACAAAAGAAGTTTTCACACCGACAGCCGCGCTATGGAGCCGGCGTGCAGATAGTGAAGCAGCGGGGTGAATGAGAAGAAGAACTTCTCCGACAGCACCGAGCCAAGAGCGAGCTGCCGCTTCTTCTGTCGCTTTTTCTGCCGCTGCTGCTGCGTGGGAGATAAAGAAGAGGACACAGCGGAAAAGTGGCAGGAGAAGGAGAGAAGTTGACGCGAGATAATGTCTGAATCCTCCTCCTCTGTGAACAAGGTAACAGCGTCCTCTTTGTTTCTCTTCTCCCTGTTAGGTTTTAATCCTTCATATGACTCGCTGTAGGGATTTATATCTCCTTTAAACGCATATTGCACGAGCCGTGGCGCCATTCAGCGGAGGTGCGTTTGTTTTGCTGCTCATCTGTTGCTCGCGGATCCACGCTTTCAGTTCGCCTCCGCTCTGCTGAGGAGAGCAGTCGTGACTGTGAGTGTGACACGTTCATGCGGTTCATTTACCGCCTCGGATTCGGAAAAGTCACAAAAGCCAGTGGACGACCATGTTGTTACATGATACATATAACACGTCTATGAACGCGAGCTAAAGCACGAGTAATAACTCGTTTCAGAGGGTCCTCGCGCAGTCACAACAGTAGTGTCACTGTTTGATAGGCCCACACTACAGGAGCTTTACAGTGTGCATTACCTGTGTTACTCCATCAGAGGTGGGAGAAGTTCTCAGATATTGTGCTTAAGTGAGAGTTCAAATACCACAGTCCAAGAATACTCTGTCCTGCATTGCAAATGTTATTCAAGTAACAATACAAAAGGATTAGCATTACAATATAGTTAAAGTAGCGACAGTAAAAGTAGTCGTTGTTTGATTGGTCCATTTCAGAATAATATATATGATATGTTTTATAATGATTGATCATGAAAGTGTTCTCAAAGCTGGTAAAGGAGCAGCTAGTTTGAATGGCTTTGTATACTGCAGGGTAGCTGGTGGATTTACTCCAGGTGGAACTAAAGATTTAACACTTGATTATATTTCACATCATTCATCCACATCTGTGAAGTAACTAAAGGGATTTGAAGTGTAGTGGAATAAAAGAACAAAGTGTACAAAATATATAAATACTCAAGTAAAGTACTAGTATCTCAAAATTGTTCTTGAGTAACTTAGTTACTTTACACAGCTGACTTCCTTTGAAAACTCTTTCTTGTAAAAACTAAAGAATCAAATGAAAGGGTTCCTCTGGTTTAGAGTAGGGACCAACAGATGGACAGCAACATACTTTTTGATCGATTCATTATAATCTATTGAGTAAAAATGCTAAACAATTGCTCAAATCCAGATAACTAATGTAACTGTTTGCTGCTTTTCTTTCTTTAATATTATGCAAACCTTTAGAATTGTTTCTATTGTTGGGGCTGTGTGGATTCTTTGTAGATGAATTGAGTTGTTGTCAGAAAATCAAAAACCCCGAAATATTGAAAAGGAAAATAAACCTTTGCAGCCTTGCTTTGAAATGAATGTGAATAAAGGCTCGTTTGGGGCTGCTGGTCAGACTGAACACGTTGAAGACACGTTGTGCTTGTGATGTGTCAGACGGTTTGACATGTTGTAATCTCAAGGATCATTGATGAATCACTACTGAAAACGATCTATAGTTGCACCCTAGAATGAGGAAGATTGTTGTCAAATATCCTCTGGTTTTGGCGTGTCAAATGTGGGGAGTTGTTTTTTGTATTGAATATATTTGTTTTATGTATGTGGCTCTGAAAACAGACAGTTGGCACCTTGGTCCTTTAGAGATGTTTTTGTTAATCCAAACATCAGTTCTTAATATAATCGTAAGTTGCTGCATGAATGGAACCATTATGGAATTATTATTTGAGAAGTCATGGTCAGCTTAAATGCAAGCTGTTCAACAACCCATTATGAATATGGGATGTCGTCTCATTGCGGAGTCTGATGTAACTGCACAGTCTCCTGCTGGAGGATCAGCACTCCGCTCCGAGGAGGTTCCCAGCCGGTGGACAGGACTCCTCTTCCCTTACTGCAGCCTCCCTGTGTCACACCACCCTCCTGCAGGCCCCATCACTGGCTTTGTCCTAACTGCCCATTCCCACTAACCTGACCTTTTTCAAGACAACTGCATTTTCACTAAGTGTTTGCCTCTCAGAGGAGGGAATAGAAGACTGAGAGATTATTGCCGGGCTTCCACGGGAGATTCCTGCTGCATACAGTTGGTGTGTAGGTTAGCGTGGCTCGGGTGGTGACAGCAGGCTGAAACTGGAGGCAGAAACAGTCAGCTTCATTTCCTCAAGAAACTAACATGCTCTGCCCTCATTTAAAGGAAGGGAAACCAGTCCACAGATAATGTCACTAACTGGGAAAGCTCAAATACCTCCATACATGAAGTGTACACTAACAGAGCAAGAGAACCCTGGAGATAGATGCAACTAACAACTGTGGTCATGATGGAAACATGGGCTGATTGTTTTCTGAAGAATTGATTATTTGTTTGGCCTCGTACAGTGGTCTTAATGAGGGAGTAATGCCTGTCACAACGTCTCAGAGGCTAACCCATGTATTTAGGAACATGAAATAGAGATATAGCAAATGTTCACCTTTGGGAAGCTGAAACCAGATTGAATTGACGATGTTTTTTTGATTGGGATAAATGCATTCATTATTTAATAATCCAATCTTTCATATACAGAAACACTCTTCACTTCTCCTCTGTTCAAACGTGGATGGCTGTGCATGTCTGTGTCTGGAGATGCAACAGGTGTTTCTGTGGCAAAGGAAATTGGGAAAACTGCCACTGACTCATTAAGAGTCGATTCATTTGCACTCCTAAAATGAATCGTCTGGATGAAGAATTTGAAATGAAATGTGGGTCACTCATTGACACTCACCTGTAGGCTAATACTATAGAATATGTGGGTTCTTTCTGAATATGGAACTTAATTGTTTTGGTCTGTCAAGCAGTTGAATACCAAAAGATCTTCAGTTTAATATAATATTACACAAAGTAAAGTCTCCGGCTTAAGAAGCTAAAAGAAGATATTGCTTGACATTTGTGCTGACAAACAACCTAAAGGACCAACCCATTATTAAAGTAGTTCCTGAATAATTTAATGTCAATCAACAAAACAATAAAAAGCCTTAGCTTTATGAGTACATTTACCAACACAAAATAGAATATAAATAATGACGGCATTGTGGATTACGAAGCAAATATAAAAAATGAAACAAGACGTTGTTGTAATTGTAACCTAATATCGACAGAGTTTGGACTGTTGGTCATACCAAACAAACCGCCCGCAGCCATTAACAATAGCTCCTGGAAGTTCTGGGGCTTTATTTCAAACTTTGCTGACATTTTAATAGATTTGTATTCAAACAATAATTAAGATAAAGTAAATCATTGCAACTCTTATTGTAGATAGCCTTGTGTTTGGAGTGGCTGAAATGAGTACATGTATAACAATTCAGCAACATTCGGATTTTAATGAAAATGTTTAATTTGATCAAACAAGTATTTTACTTATCAAACAACTCTTGATGAAGATCCATGTTTGTTGACACTGAGATTGGCATCTTCACTGGTTTATGGCTCCCCTTCATGTGCTAAAGCATGCGTGGCCTCTGGATCTGTGCATCAGCAGAAAGTGTGTACACAGCATGACAGTGTGTATGTGCACGGTGCTGTGGGTGCACGGCGAGGTGAGGCGAGGTTGGCGTGGAGCTGTTTGGGTTCAGGGCCGGTGCGTCGCTGAGCTTTGTGAGCTTTGTGAGCCATGCTTTGTGTCTCTGTGTCTATTCATAGCAGGAGAGGAGCTCTTTCAGTCCTTCCGCGAACACGCTGCCAAACTCCACTTCCTCCCCCGTCCATGCTCCCGCCGCCAGGCCAGCCAGCCGAATGGAGGACGAGCCTGCCAGGCTGCCTGCGCACCTGCGTGAGTCACACACACACACACACACACACACACACACACACACACACACACACACACACACACACACACACACACACACACACACACACACACACACACACACACACACACACACACACACACACACATATTATGAGTGCACAGCTGGGAGGCGTTGAAGCAGATCCAGGGTCAGACACCTGAACCCTTCAGTGGAGCAGCACTGGAACAACGGCAGGTCCAGCAGGCACATTATGTGGAGCTGGACACCATAGAAGAAGAATGGAGGATAGACTGATAGGGAAGAGAAGGGTTGAAGAAGTGGAGGGCTGGGGTCAATGAAACAAGACCCCTGGAAAGATTAAGGACATAAACACAAACATTTAGAACAACTTTAGACAACCCCCCCCCCCCCAGAACTGGAGTGCATGACGGCTCGTCATAGTTAGAAAAGCCAATCAGAAAAACATAACATCAAACCATCATTACATTCATCTGTTTCTGCAGGATCTCTACTTTAGGGTTTCTTTAAACCCTATCAATACAGTGTATTTAAGGAAACTGCAATACTAATAATTGAATAAGGAAGGACAACAAGGCATTCACTTGTATCACCGTTAATGAAAACATGTTTTTATTGCTTCCAACATCTCAGAAAGTATTCTTTATACATCAAGGTCTGCTGATGAAGTTGTCATACAGAAATAACAACGGCTAAATCAAGAATAACCGTACTCCTTTAAGAAGAAATGATATGTCCTCTTGCAAAGTGAAGTCCCTAACAAATCTACTTGTTGTGGTTAGGGTATTGCATATAGCATAAGAAAATACAATATCAGCTTTTTACTTTATTTTCTCTCTCTTTTTTTCTCTATCTTTGTTCCACTTGTGCTACTGTTGTGTTTCAGCATTTCCTTTTTTTCTCATAATCAACAACAGAATATTTGGCTGAATGATTATGTAATATTCATATTTGTATTAATGATATATGCTGCAGTGAATGACTCTCACTAAGACCCTTCCCGGTGTACACAGCCTGTACACTGATTGCAAACAAAACAAAAAGCTGAGTTAAAGCTGTATGAAAAGCATGATACGCTGCAGTTGGTAGAATCCGATTGGTTTTTCAGATCATTTCATAATAAGCTGATTGTGAGCCCATGTGACTAATGTTCAGAGATTGCTTCAGACCATGATAAACCAGTTGTAGGTGTTACAGAACATCTGCCTGAACTAGTCAGTTTCACACTTTCCAGTCTGCAAGTGATTTAGTAAAGATCTATTGAAATAGGTTTTAATATCCCAATGAAGCAACACAGTGACACATGGGTTTGATCGACCAATCCCAGAGCAGGCGGGGCTGGAGCTGTGTCAACAGATAGGCTCCATGTTCAAAGAGTAACCCAGCTTTGTCCATGCACCCGTCAATATTTAACCAGTGTATTCATTTTCTTTTTAAGCTAGTGTGAAGTTCAGTGCTGATGGTTGGGGGGGGTTGGCTGGATGAGATGCACAGGATACTCCCTCAGCCCACTTCCTCTTTTGCATTGTTGCAGAAAAAGGAAGAAAGCTCAACAGGTCCGCGTTGAGTTTCCTGTCGAGCTAACCGATGGGTCACTTCACATCCGCAGACATGTGGAAGTCCTATGTGTGTTACAGGGGTTTGAACGCCTCACACAGACAGACGGACATGTGGAAGTCCTATGTGTGTTACAGGGGTTTGAATGCCTCACACAGATGGACATGTGGAAGTCCTACGTGTGTTACAGGGGTTTGAATGCCTCACACAGACGGACATGTGGAAGTCCTACGTGTGTTACAGGGGTTTGAACGCCTCACACAGACAGACGGACATGTGGAAGTCCTATGTGTGTTACAGGGGTTTGAATGCCTCACACAGACGGACATGTGGAAGTCCTACGTGTGTTACAGGGGTTTGAACGCCTCACACAGACAGACATGTGGAAGTCCTACGTGTGTTACAGGGGTTAGAATGCCTCACACAGACAGACAGACATGTGGAAGTCCTACGTGTGTTACAGGGGTTTGAACGCCTCACACAGACAGACATGTGGAAGTCCAACATGTGGAAGTCCAACGTGTGTTACAGGGTAATTTTGACGGACAGGATTGTAACATTTCCGTCATAATCCATTATTATCCGTCGAGTGCACAATTTATCACTCACTCGCGCTGACGGGGGGTATTCGGTTAACGCGAGTGCGACCACTGCTCCCAAGCCCTGTTGTTGCCATTTCATTTTCTGTTAAATAAGGTTAGTTAGACCATGAGTCTGACCCGAGTCTTCCTGACAGTTCATATTGTGCCGCTGCCCGGTGTAAATCAAATGTACCGCCACGCGCACCACAGACACACAGCTGCTGCCCTGCCGCAGCACCAGAAATGGAACTGCTGGGAGAAAAACGGACTATCAGAAATGTAACGTTATCTTTGATAATATTTCGTCTCCTCATTTTTCGTCAACGAAAGTAAAGAGAGATTTTGGCATAGTTTTTATTTAGTAAACTACATTTTCGTCCCGTCACTTTTCGTCAACGATATTGCATGATGATTTCGATACAGTTATTGTTTACTGCCGTCGGTGCCGTCTCGTCATTGTCTCGTTTTCGTCATGGAAAAAAAGGTTGTTGACGAACATATTTCGTCATAGTTTTAGTCAACGAAATTAACACTGGTTTGAACGCCTCACACAGACAGACATGTGGAAGTCCTACGTGTGTTACAGGGGTTTGAACGCCTCAGACAGACATTTGGAAGTCCTACGTGTGTTACAGGGGTTTGAACGCCTCACACAGACAGACATGTGGAAGTCCTACGTGTGTTACAGGGGTTGGACGCCTCACACACACACAGAGCAGGGACATGTCACCTCCAGCTCTTCTGTTTGGTTTACGGCTGCTGCTGCTCCACGCTCACACACATGTCTTTGTCTCTGAGCTCACTCAAACTCCTCTCATCATCCTCTCTCCTCCTGCCTATCTAAACACACAAGCCGTCCATTAACCCCCACACTCAGAGGGAGCTCTGTCCTGAGGGGGTAGAGGGAGCAGGGGAACAGGAGGGAGGAGGAGAGGGGGGGAAAAGACAGAAAGAAAAAGAATGAGGGAGGAAATTGCAGTGTGGGCAGAATCCGCCTTCTCCATTTCCTGGGGAGGAAGTGGATTAGATCGGGGAGCTGCAGCCTGCTCCTCACTGAAGAATGCTACCAGGCTACATTTAACCCTTTCAGCTATCACACAAACCCTCTTTCTTCTATTCCCACTGCTCCTATTAGGGGTAAGCTTGAACACACATTTAGAATATATCATCTTTTTTTGATTAAAGATATTCTTATAATATTCTTCTTTTCACCTTCATGTTTGTTTTTGTAACCTCTTTGGCATTTGAGCAGGTGTTTCTTGTTAATGTCTCTATATGATCCCATTCTTTAAAACAAAATACCTTTTCAATATTTACACATTGATCGTAGTCAAATTAGAGCTGCACGGCATCATATTGGAAAAAAACGGCATTGCAATTCCCACTATATATATTGCCATTTAATCACATACCAGTTACAATAAAGACCATTTTGAAATGAGTGTTATCTATATGCTTGAACTCTAAAGCTAAAGGAATAGTTAGACATTTTGAAATGTGCTATTGGTTTGATTAGAAAATCCATACTACCATATCTTTCACTTCAATACATATATCTTACAGCCACTTCCAGTTAGCTTAGCACAGTGACTGTAAACAGAGGGAAACTGTTAGCCAGGCTGTCCAAAGATCCACCTAGCATCAACTCTGTGTCTTGTTTGTTTTAGGAACTTCCTGGAGTCTGTGCTGGTTGCCTAGCAACCAGTGCAGACTCACTACACACAACCAATAAATGGTGAAGAACTTTACCCCCCCTTCCAAATGAAACCAATGGTGATAAAGTGTTAATGTGGTCTTTAGGGTTGCTGCTAGGCACATTTGAACGTCCAGCGTGAGTAAATGCGCTAACCGCTGCTGGCTGCAGGGTTATATATTAATGAATAAAGCGAGTCAAACAGAAGTATTAGTTAACAAAAAGTACCGCTTTAAACAGTAAGTGGAGCCCCCCAAATGTTTTGTTTGTTAGTCTGTGTCAAAGTGAGATCAATACCATAAAAGGGAGGGGTTTCATCTGCGCTTGCACAAAGCGTGATGGTGATGCCGACCAACTGGAGTCCTCGGGTTTCATTTCAATTCAGGCAACATCGCTCGCCATGGTTACCCTGACGCACCTGTCACTGAGCCAACTGCCGATTATTCACAAGTCTAAAACACAACATATTCCACTATTTTCATACAATAAACACAAAATACTAAGAAGAGGGGCTGCAAGGCTAGAAACAAATATGTTTGTGTACGCGCTAACAGCTGGGTTTTCTCTGTGCGTGTTTGTGAGAGTGGGTGGATGAGTGTGAGGGAATCTTGTGTCTTTTATGCAAAGCTTGCCAGAGGTAGTGTAGGTGTATAATGCATGTGTCTGACTGTATATGAGTAATTGTGTGTGTGTGTGTGTGTGTGTGTGTTACCACCACCAGCTTCCTTTTTTCCCTCTCCCTCTCTGTGGTATATTACCCATGTTACTGTTTGGGGGCTTGGTGTAATAAAGAATGTGTGTGTGAGTGTTGGTGGTTCGGAGGGGAAATTTCCTACCCCTGGAAGCAGCTCTTGTCCTCAGGAATTTCCTGAGTGGGCAGACGGTGCTTCCTGAATAAATGTTGTTGTTGTTGTTGTGTGTGTGCATGTGTGTGTGTGTGTGTGTGTGTTTGAACTCACACTCTTTTCTCTTCTGAAAGGGAAACTGTTCTCACATGCCAGCAACTGAGCTCAGCAGCCCCCCCCCTCTTCCTGTTCGCGACACACTCCACATGCCGTTTGGAAGGGGGGGGGGTGCTTTACTCTTTAACGTCATAATGAACACACACTCGTATAACGGAGTGTGGATTTCAGCCTTTGTCGGGATGTCCTCTTAATAAATAAATGTT